CTTTATTTAAGTTTACGTTAAATATATATTTTAGCTATTGGTACTAACCCGTGACGCGAAAGTGCCTGTAACAGCGCCTTGTAATGTTGGATTTAATACGTTATTGCCTCAAGCCACATTTAATGACCAGCGGTGCTGACGCCGGAAATTTGAGCTCGTAAAATCATAAAGCTCGTCGTTTAAAGTGAAAATGCCGCATAGTGATTAAAACATTTAGTAAATAAATTATGAATTACGTTATTAAAAGATTAAAAATAAATTATTGCATTCAACGAAAAACAGTATGAAAAAAATTGAGAACAATTCAGCAATGAAATAATAACGATTATAACAATGATAAGATTATAATTTTGATTTCTACGTTATTGCTTATCACTTATCGTTAAATTACACTGTTTTATCGCGGGAATTATTGATACTACTCGTCTTGTAACCTTTGTAATCAATAATATATAATAATCGATGTATGAAGTCACCTGTTTCAACACGCACGTTCAGATTTTAATTATGTTTATATTTACGAAAGAGATTACATTATCGCGACCGCCTTAAGTGTTATTATACCAATCCCTACAGGGAGATAATATTCTGTGTGATAAGGATTTTTAGAAGCTATAATACAACGCATGAAAAGATCGTAGGTTGAGGGCAAGTTCTTTAAAATTTAAATTGTGAACTTGTTATATATCGAAAATATTAATATTATAAATATTATTTTTTAATAAATTGCGGAAATTATGTTTACTCTTACTTACACACACATATACACACGTGTACGCGCGTTATTACATTTTCGGAAAGTGCTGATTATGTTAATATTCACCGATAGAAGTTGAAAACTTTGACGAAAATTACTTTATGCCGTGAAGTTCTCAGCGCGTCTTCTCGCGATATTCCGCTATTCGCGAGTAAATTATCGAACGGATATAAACGAGATACATTCACACGATGCCATAAAGTCGCTTGGAAATTCGTCGTCCCACACCTTATCACAGAAATACGTTACACAGTTTCTACGCTTGTCAGCGCTTGCACGAGTTTCCTTGATTTTCGTAGCTCTTTACTTCGCTAATGGATTACGCTCTCGAGGATGTTTTCGCAGAGACCGCGTTATTTCTCCCAGCTGTCGAAGTCCTATCCGATTTTGAAGCTCGTTGACATTTACGATCGCCAGGTAATCGCGATTCAGTGAAGAAGCGAAATAATTTTTTATCTTGATAAATGTCGCTCGTTTATATGTGATATTTTTATATCAGCGTTTATATTCACAGTCTTTTATACGAGCGTACGTTTTGGATAACTTTTACGTCTGCATTTTAATGTACATCCTGTTCTACGCGGCCTTATGGTACGCTAATTATGTAAGTAATCATTATGAGACTAAAAGCCAAACATAGCACAAATCATTCGAAAATTTAGCTTTTTAAATTTTAAGTTAATTTTAATACGATTTTCGATATAATTATTCAAGATAATAAAACGAATTGAAAAATCGAATCGGGAAATGTCAACGACAGTTGCAGAGAACAAAACAGTGAGGGTTATCCTTTTATTTTACTTGGTTCTTGTAATAATATTGATTCACTCACTCTTTTTATTAAGAATTTTATTTTTTTGTAGAAATTAGATAGACTGGTATTGCTGAAAAATAAGAAGGCGGAATTCGAAGAAGTGATCGTGAAAACGGTTAGTCATCTTGTTTTTTATTTCTATAATAATGTCTACAATAATATTAATGGTATTTACTTTACAGACAGATACGCAAAAAATCACTACAAAATATTTAGAAGATGAAGTAAGTTTAAGAATTATAAATCGATGCAAATTTGTGTAGACTAAAATATGTATAGACTAAACTTTTTTAATTTTCATACCACGTAAACATTTAACTATTCAGATGCACAGGCTCAGTACAGAATTAATTATGACGTCCAATAAAATCATCGAATTGGAAAGAGTCATTGAAAAAGTAATCGTCGTTTGACATTTACTCTGTAGCCGTCCATTTTTACCAGCTTCAGTAATTATTATTAAATCGTAGATGGTTTTTAGTACAAATATCCAGACAAATCATTTACATATTCAACCGGTGTCATCGCAACCGGCGAAGGTGAATGTCCACAAGGACACGAGGATACCGCGAATCCGCTTGAGAAGTTCAAGGTGAATAAATACTTCGTCTTCACCAAATAAAATACTTAAAAACATCTTTTGCGTTTTAATTTTACATAACGGGCTAATTAAGACTATGACATAAATAATCGTGATATATAATCAAGAATATGATATTAAGTTTGTAAGATGTGATTTGATTTTATTGATTTATATGCAGTTGACGAAAAGCATAATTGAAAATCCTTTTCTACATCGACTCGGTTGAAATAAAAATTAATCGAGAGGATTAATAATACGTTTAATTTTGTAATTATCGTCGAACGATTTTAAGATCCTCGAACCGTCATTTCCGCCGTCCGTTCCACCGGAACCTCCGCCTCGGAAGTACGGGATCTTTGTCAGTCGACCGAGCGTCGTCTGCCACTGCACCTGCAACTCCACCGCCAAAAGTCGGATTCAAATAATAGCGCCTCGGCAGAAGCTTCCTCGGAATCTATTATTCGACGACGTAAGACGTTCTAATTACATCAAAACGATATTTAATTTCTAGATATTATGTGCAATCTAATTGAACATTATAAATTTCTTGTTTATGTAAAAAATTATCGAAGCAGAGATGTAATTAATTCATGAAATTCGAACACAGATTCTTACGGATTTAAATCGATCGAAAATTCGTGTAACTCATCGCCATTGCAATTTGATACAATTTATTTTTGGATTGAATAATATTGATCTAATTATCTGCTTTCTTTGTATCAATCGTTCCAAGATTTTATCTTTCGTTTTCTTAGCTCTAAATCTTTCCAATTATATTATATTATATAAATTATAAGTTTTGAGAATTTCTCAAAATATATATTCTTAAATTGATTAATTCTTCAAATTCTATTCTACAGCTACGAATAGAACGTCTTCAAGATACAGCAATTATCATGATGGTGATAGAAAGAGGTATCCTAAACGACTCAAGATTCGCTCGCGACGATCTTCGTATTGCAAAATTCGGAAGATCCACGTGGATTCCTTAAAGAATGTCACACCTTTTACCAAATCATTATTAGGACTTGCTACAATGTTTTACCGAGTATTACATTAATAAAAATAGATATTTCGATAACTTTAACTGTTTCAAAGATGAATTCTATAATCTTTTTCCACTATCTTTTTATTTTTGTGTATTTAAAATATTATTTATATAATGTTTATTATATTTATATAACATGTTAGAAATAATATGATTTTAATATAACAATATCAATTTTTTACACTCATGTTCCTATAAAAATTGTGTGTGAGATTTTAATAAACATATATTCTTGTTATCCATATTTATTGTTGTATTTCATTGTGTTTTAATTCGAGTTTATAGTTGAAACATACATTGCAGATAATATATTTTTTTTTATATTTCCGCTGCAATAGACTTCATGTTTATAATCGCATTTCATAACCGTGTTAATATAATCTTTCAAGCATAATTAGCTACATGTTATGCTCATAGCACAATAATTTCATGGCAAATAATACTTAAAAATATAAAAGGAAAAACATTTACATATATGTAAATGACGCGCATATCTTATATCGTTTTATATCGTGAAAAATATAAAAATTCAATCTTATTCTCATCTCAATCTACATGTATATTAATTCTCCAGATTACATTTGCAATCACGGTTAAAAGATTCAACCTGGTTTAAAAACAACATCGTAAGCCTTGAGCCAAATGTATAATTATGTAAATAGTGCAAGATTCCGTAATAAATATTTAATCAAACATGTTTGATATACGGTTTCATAAATAAGAGAGAGAAAGAGAGAGAACATGTTTTAGAAACAGCAATTAAAATATGCTGATAACGATAATCAATCACATATATGTATATTCTCGCTCCGTATCTTTATCTACGTGTCGAAAAAGCTATATTATTTTTAATCGTGCCATTTTATTATAAATTTGATACTGATAAAGACGTACTTTTTATCTAATTTTTTTAGTAGGAAACATTTTTTTTTCCCCAGTATTTTGTGTTGGGATATGTAATATTATTTTAAAATTCGGAAAAAAATAAATACCTGCAAGCAGTAGATAAAACTGCATTAGAAAGGCCAGGTTATTGGAACACTGATTGTCCATTCCTTGAACTACATATCTACTAAGTTTACTAAATTGTATACTTTCATTTGAAACGAAAGTATTCAATTAGAATCTATGCATGTTAAGATCAACACGCTTGTGGGAAAACTTTTGCTAGTCGTTCAATGCAACATCCTGTTCTACCTGCAAGACGTCCTATTAATTTGTTACTGACATTATCATCTTTCTTCTCTGTTACAATTCTCCGTTGTTACAATTTAATCAAAATTCTATTTTTTCCCAGGTATTTTCATACACACACGGTATTATTCTAAATATATATAAACATATCTGTCACAACTCATCATTTTGCAAAAATTTTGCATTGAAAATTTAGTGAAAAGAAGAAATGATTGTTTCTGTTTGTAAAATCAATGTAAAATTAATGTTATAATCAGAGTATCTCCTTTAAATCCTTATTTCTTAAAAATTTTATGAAAATAATATCAACAATTTTTGTATTTGTTAATTACATTGTTATATATTTTCAAAACTTTTTTCTAAAAAAACACACATTTTTTTTATCAACATGGCACAAAATAATTCTTTTTTCAAACTTAGCGTGATTTGTCCGATAAAAAAACAGTAAATTACGATAATTGCCGCCAATACCAAAGCGGAATCTATATTTTTGTGCCCCAGCTTACCTTGTTTTAGCTGCACAACTATGTAGAGCCGCGGGCGATCGGCTAACTTTCACTGACGACTCGTTAGGCTCGCTACCGCGGTTTCGAGTCTCATTCACAGTCATTCCGCGACTTCGACGGGTCTCGGTACAGGCGGACTGCCCGTATTTCTCTCTCCTTCGGTGGAAAAATCTCGTGCGAGCTGTCAATTGTACGTTCAGTGCCATATCAACGATACGTAGTGGCGCGTTTGCGAATTCTATGTATCGTGCAATCGCTCTTGTAAAGTTGTTTGTGTCTCGCGCGCGGAAGTTTCCCGGACATCCGTGACGCAGTGATATTCGACATCCGACATTTCATCAGGATATTTTTCACGGCGAACTTATCGATTGATGAAAAGAGAAATTCGTTGTAGAGCTATTGCTATCCGCATATGTATAATAGCGGAACTGCCGTGCGCAATATTGAGAGTTACGATCCGCGGATTTCGATTTACGCGTGATTTGATTTAAGCGACTGTGTTGGGCGCGCATGATTTTCAGTCAGCGATGTCATCCGGGGATTGACCGTTTGTTCTCGCGATTGTAATTGCTTTTCGAAATTTAGACGTCGATGTGTGTATGTGTATGTGTGAATGTATGTGTGTGTATGCGTGATTTAGCGGGCAAATCGCGTCGCCTTTTGCATTTAGAGAATCGAAAGATATCATAGATCGGACGAATTAATCAGCAACGCGAGCTCGAGTTTCTAAAGTAGGCTTCGACGACGTTGTTACAATTCGCTGGGGAAAGTTCAACCGTGTTGTTTGCGCAGAGTTTCTTGGAACGGTAGATGAAGGACTCCCGTTACAATTTCGCCGATCTCTTCCGTGATTCCGCGCACTAAAAGTGCATTCGACGATACAAAGAAATCGTCGACTTTCAAGAGTGACTGTGTCGCGCCGGATGAAAGTAAGGCCGGACGTAAGAGGATTCAGCTTTATCACCGTTTAGCGGAGCTCGAAGAAAGTGGAAGTTAACGGAGAGTGAGAGTCTTTTCTCTCTCTCTTTCGAGAAAGAGAGAGAGAGAAGAAACCGCGATCTCGCGTTCCACAGCGATTTGCCGGTTACGTCGATCGCGAATCCAGGGACAGGTATCTGTTTGAACGGTCGCACTTATATAAGTAATCGTTTATATCTTTGAAAATTCAGATTAAGGCAAAAGCAGTTGAGTTCGAAATAAGGCGATCGACTGTACTTATACGTTTACGTAATAGTACGTGATCGTCGAAAGCGGCGGAATCATTGTCGCGAATCGACGTTTGCACGTTTATCCTTTGATGCGATGTGTAATTTCACAGCTGTAATGTATCATTCTCTCGTGACTCTTATGTAACGGAATAATCAACTGGATTTCGGTCTAATTATTAAATTAGAGTATTACCGTTTTTCATTATATAAAAATTTGTTATATTAGATATATTTTAACATGTCGAAAAAATACAAGAAAATTTCTTCTTTCTTTTTCTTATATCCGAATTTATTTTTTAGTTAATAAAATCAATGTGATATTTCATACTTTCAGATGTAATTCCTTATGTACTGCAGTGGATTCGTACATTATTTTAATATACACATGTCTGAGAATCGGTTCGATAACAAATCAATTGATTATCCCTAATCTCTCCAAGAGATTCATCGTATTGAAAAAGTCAACATGGACACGAGTACGGTACGCTTGGTCATATTTGTGAGCATGTTTCTGATTTTTGCCGGCGATTATAGCACATTAATTTCATCGATTTTTGGTAATGCAACGGAGAGGAACGTAACCGATACTGTTGGAGGACCCAAAGCTCAGCTTAAGGGGCCTCATGATAAGATAATCGCCGTCTCGAAAGAAGTCGTTGATAAGAATAACGGTAAGAAAAAGAAAAAAAAAATATATGACCTGAAATTTCCTCACAAATATATTACGTCATCGAAAAATATATAACTTATTAAGGATGTAATCCTCTTATGTTAACGAATTAAAATTAGTTCCTTTGTTTCGCCAAGCAATGCGAGTCGTATAATTTCAGTGCTCATTTCTCAATTATTTTCATGCTACAGTTGCCCTTACTGATATAAGTACGCGAAGCCTATGCATGCCTCGTGTGTCGTCACGTTGTTATCCGAGGGAGGAATTATTTGCCGAGTTTTACTTGTCAGCTCGCGCGCGCGCGCGCGCGCGCGGAGCTAATTACCACTCCGCTAATTAACCGCGCGCTCGTGTATATTAATTATTTGGCAACGTTATTGAGATCCTCACTGCTTACGTTTCATCCGTCTCGCCGTTTATCGGAATTTTACTAACGGAATTTTACTCTCGATTAAAAACCAGTTTTTAATCGAGAAAAAATTGTTGAAAACTAGAATGCGGATAAAATATCGTATATAACATATATTTAAATTCGATCGTAGTGGCCTTCTTTGATGTAACATTGCATAATATGCATTTTTTAATACACGATCATATTTGTGATTATATAATTACAATATGCTGGTGTAATTGCGTGTGATTATTGTGTCATGCTATGCTTATTGCGTGAGATATTTCTTGATTTCTATTTTTTTACAAATTAATAAAATATTTTATAATAACAAGAAAATAATATATAATGCATGCGTGAAAACAAAAAACGGTTTAATCACTTGGATATTCTATTGATAATATATTATATACAACTATAAAATTGTTATCGAATTATCTTTCAGCGTATACAAAGATACAAATGATAGCAAAAATATAATGTTATTAATGCGTTTAACAATTATTATATATTTATTCCAATTCTAATACATTTCGAACAAAATTGAAATATTATTATATTATACGATATTAAAAATTCGAATATTATACAATATCGTATCTTCTCGAAAGTGTCTTCGTTATGTTTCAGAAATCTTTAGAAATTTTTGACGCGTGGGACCTTGGCTTTTAACTTGTCACTTATCATACCAAGATTAAATAAAATCGTTCACAAGAATACGCGCGGTCATTCGAAATAATATTTGCACTCCATTAATCGTTTTGTCAGCTTCTGGAATGATATAGCATGCGCAACGATATAATTGACAATAATGGCTTGATTTCTGCTCCGACAGTTGCCTTACGTCGTGCGAAGATGATGGCGACGATCAAGACCGCTTGCCTGCCAAAGTTGATATGCGAACTCACATCGTCCGTTCACCAAGACCAGCTAAGCGAAATGGAACGATCTCTTTTGAATCTCATAAGGTATTTAAATACCGTTACCTTTTATATTTCTCCTTCTTTTCATCCGTATTGTCAAGAAATAGAGAAAATGGATCTCGATTCATATTAAATATTAAATTTCACTTGCTCGTGTCAACTAGATCATAGAGACGTCTAATTTTTATTGACGTTGCTTGAGAAAAAAATCTAGAATAATCCAGAAGTTCCAACGTCGATTTATTCAATGTATGTGGTAAGACGATAATTTACTTTCATCATCGAGGATCTTGCACTTGGTGCTCTTACTTTCACAACTTTCGATCGACACATTACTGCTAAACGTTTCAAGTGCATCGACCCTGAACACATGCGCAAGATTACTATCGTAAGGAGATATTTCTTAAATTTTGCACACATTCTCGGGAGAGAACTATGAAGAACGTGCTCTTTCATGATATAAGCGGCGATGTTTTTTATTCGAAAGCGTAAACCGATGATTGGTTCCTTCATCGAGGAATGAACGCGCGACAGCGCGTGTACATTTCGTAATTTTCACTCATCAAGGCTGATATGGTAATATCCGCCGCGTGCGTGCCGATAATACTGTAGAATGTTTCGAAAAACGACGGCATGGGCGACCGCGATCCGGAAAATTGGACGCCCGGGATAAATACACGCGCGTATTTTGCAATTTTCGTTTACGATCGTCGGTAAAACGCGGTCGCGTTCCGCCTCTCGTATACACGCGTATACATTCGTTGCGTTATGCGGATAACGCAAAGAATTATACCGCGAATTCGCGCCGTTTTACGTTCTGATTAAAAGCAAAGTTATGTTAAAACGCGCCGTGTCTCCACCGGGAAAATCGGGAAATGCGGTTCCCGTGGAACGCTTTTAAATTCCCGTATTTGCATAGCGTGGAATGTATCGTACGCAGTATACATACTACGGTCGCGCGCGGAACTTTCCAGCGTGAATGTATTAATTACACATTTACATGCGTCGACCCTGTGAACATTGCGTTCGTTCAATTTGTTTGTCAATTGAATGAATGAGCAAAAATCAGGAAGTTCGAAGAATTCCGAGAAAATTAACACATTTTCCCCGCAATACTACAAATTAGAGATTGCTCTCTCTAAAATTAAAACACGTCTCTCGAAACCTATTTCATTCTACAACTAGCGCGATTGCAATTTTTTTGTACTTAGATTAAATACTTTAGATTATTCATACTCAACATGCAAAATGGATTCATTTCGTTAATAGTTATTCATAGCAATTTATCGTCATATTGATGAATATCGTACTATTATAAGAGAATATTCGTCAATGAATTTGTAAGGAATTATAAAATCGCGTAATTCGTACATTACACGTCATTATGAAGTAAGAGTTGCATTGTAAATGTTTTGGAAAGTTTTGCTCGAAAGTAGTCGCGAAAGTTTGTCGGGTCTTACGTAAATCCAGTCCGAAAATGAGACATGCCTCTTGCCATATCTCGCCATCCGACGAGCACTTTCCTTTTCACGCATACTTTCTCCTATACAGCCGGCCGTGATTTCGCATTCGTTTCCGGACTTTGCTTTCTGCAAATATTTTTTGCAATCTATGCAAACGACGACAGGAAATAATGTGTTATTTCCTTAACTTTGATAATATTTTTGTACGGACGAAAAAACATCATTAATCGCCTCTAGCATTTGTCAAAATATTGTTGTCTTTGTTCTAATAATATGTACTTTACATTATTATATATGTTTTCTGTTTAACTTTGATAATATTTTTGTACGGACGAAAAAACATCATTAATCATTCTAATAATATGTACTTTACATTATTATATATGTTTTCTGCTTTGCATGCTATAAGAAGTAAACAAATTACATCATTACATAGAAGTGAACATTTCTATCAATAATTTTTGTCAGTTTTTTTTTCTCATGAAATTGCATGTCATTAATATATCTTCTTAGTTTCTCATTTGTTTTATTTATATCTGCTGAAAAACTCTTATTACACACGCATTTTAGTCTTTCCTTCCTTTAAAGTAATATAATATAAAACAGTTGATGAAAAGATAACTTTAATGTAATCACTTTAATGTAAAAATTAAAGAAACAGCTATATATAGGATATCGTAAACGGAAATGGATAGAGCTTAAGTTTATCTCTCTAAAGCGGCGGGCTCGAATAAAAATCTTATATTTATTACGGCCGTTCACTTCCGTCCGCGTGTTAAACAGAAACGACGTCGACGAACAGTAAAATGAATTGACGCAGAAAAGCGAGTTCCATTAGAAAGTATAATGAACCAAAACGACGGCACTGACTCGATATGTCATGCGTTCTTCTTTTCATTTAAATACATCATTTTTTTTTTTTTATATTGCCCGCTGTCGTTAAAAGTTATACGTATATATAATTATAGTAAAATCAATTCTACAATTTTTATGAAAAGAGGATTAAAAACTTATACACAATAAAAATCTTTTTCTTAAAAATAAAAATTTTACACAAAAAAGACGATGAGGAAGAAAAACATCAGTTCTGTATTAAACTTCTTATAAAAAAAAATTTCTAGGTATATTTTAAGTATAATCAGAGAAATCGAGTAGAGTAAATGTAGCCTGCGTTATCTTTCGCGAGTCTTTATCATCCTCTCTCGGTAAGCATCCTTGAGCGAAAGAGAATCGCTGCGGTTAATGTTCCGGAAGGATCCGAGCTTTATATATTTACTTTTATGCCTGCGTAAACGCACCGGTTCGTTTTGACGGGTCCGATTTTTATCTATGCGGATCGGTCCGGGTTAAACCGATCAAGATAGGCTAAAAAGCCGTTTTGCGTTTATTCCTTATATCCTTATATCTCTTCTTCAAGAGAGTTAGGATGCGGAGTCGTAAAGGGGGAGAAAAGATCTCTTCCTCTTTTTCGAAGAAGGAAGACATCTTCTATGAAAGTCATGCGTGACAAAACTGCTGCGCTTTTGCTATTTCGACAGATCGAACGACTTCTCGAAAAATTCAGCATGATATCTGCTCGATTTCGATGTAATTTGGACGATTTTTCAGGTTGGAAAGATGAAGATAGTCATCAATTCTTGTCATTTCAGAGATGATATCGATTCTTTTACTTCAAGAAAATTTCAAAATTCTGAATTTAAAAAAATCTTCAAAGCGAAAATTGGACAATTTATATTCTGCACGATAATAGTTTATGCTTGAATACTTTTTTACTAATATTTCTACATTATTCTTTTGAAACCTAATGAATTTTAAAGATGACGGAAAAAAATCAAACATGCTTATTTTAAAGTGGAATATTAGCATACATTTGCGAATTTATGACGTTACAGAGATTTAATAGACTCCGTTCATTTTCGATTTGTTTGGGAATGCAAATATGAATATATTGAAATAGAGAAAGTATCCAGAGAAATACGTGGTTTCTGCCGAGTATAACCGGACTTTATAAGCGAATATGTTTACTGACTGCAAGCGATATCGAAAGTAAAAGTCGCCAATATCACCTTGTGCTCGTTCTTATATTAGCGAGTTTGATAGAATCAGGTATTTCGTCATTTCATTCCGTTTTACAGTTTTTTTCGTTTTATTAAAATTCAAAGATAATTAACGATTGCATTATTATGAAACTTAAACTTCATTACATTAATATACCAAAATTGCAAACAACTTTCCCGTCCAATGTAAAAATATAAAAAATTTTGGCATAATTTTAGTGATCTGGTGGAAAAAATTGATTTTACAATTAATGAAATTAATGAACGTTATACTGATGCAAAATTATGACTTGTGATAAAAAATTTATGTTACTAAAAAGTTCCATTGTGTTGCTTTCAGAGATACAAGTTTGAGCACGTTGGCGGAAGTGCCCTCACGGTATCACTTCGCGGCTCATATGGGTCAACTGATTTCCGGTATAGAAGGTCAAGGCTGTCATAACTTTTACCCGACGTGTCCATTGCCAGGTATCAGCGTTCTGAACATGATGAAAAAGGTGCGTTTACGCTGACGAGTCGAAATCGCCGCAATTAATTACTGGACCTGTGATACCGTATGGATATTTTCTTCTCCTTTCGCAGGATCATTAATATCATTGATGATTCAATACGTGTTGAATATTGATCGCATTTTTAACGATTTAAATGTGTGCAAGCGAAAGTCGCTTGCTGAAAAAAAGTGTTAACATTCTGCGATGATAAAAAACTTTTTTTAAAAATCGCAAAAAAAAGATTGTTAAAATACTAAGTTAGTGAGATTATATAAAAAAGATATATTTGAGATAATGTTATTAAAATAACGTCTGACTTATTCAGTGATTAGAAAACTCTTTTGTTAGACTTCATAATTAATTGTATGTGAGTGTGTGTGTGTGTTGAATAGCATTTCTATACAATAACTTATTGTTTGCGAAATTTTTTGTTTTATTGATTCAATCTTTAAAAAAAGAACAAATGTATGCGCTTTTATTGCATCGTGCTATTTATTTATATATTAATATGTATTCATGTGTTTTCCGTTTATAGCTCTTGCATTCACTTTTGATATACGATTATTTTAATTTTATACTGTTGTATTGTATATATACAATATGTGATTGTATATATTCTTGTATTTTTTTAATAAGAGAAATGACAAATAAAAATGATAACCGGAAAAAATTTCTTTTCTTACTATGAAATATTCCCCGAGACTGCTATAAGTTCACTCTATACAATCCTGAAATTGTGCACTTTCACGGAAAGCCTCGGAGAGACGCTTTGCCAAATTATCAGGATCTACTTTCTCTCTCTATACTATATTCTTTATCCTATTCTTTTCTAATACAATGCCGCCGCCATTCCCGATATAATCTGGAAGCCCATAGAGGGAAAACGCGCGAAAATTATTACAATAATCGCCGGCGTCTTTATCGACTCAAACCCGATGCCAACTTCCAGAGTGGACGCTTCCCAACGAGCCGTGCGATCGTAAACGAGATCGTGCCAAGAGTTTCGGTTAGGATTCGGCTCGATGCGCGATGAGGGGAACGGGATGTAACGCCGATGAAACCGCACCATTAACTGCGCCCCTCCTCCCCACCTCCTACCGAAACAGCTGGCGACATTTGGAATACTTGCAAAAAATTATCGCGCGATATCGCGGCTCGAGTCACTATTGGCGTCTCTGCCAACTCTGGCGATTTACAGCTACAATTTTGCTCCTCTCTCGTTACGTGCTTGTTCGTTCAGCGATATGACTGCAATTCTGAGGCGAAAAAGTTCATCAACTTTGCTAAAAATGGCGTATGATACTAAAATCAATTCTTAATTATTATTAATAATTAATTATCAATTTGATATATATAACTGATATATATAAATATATGAAAATTATTGTAATAAAAAAAAATTGCATTTTTGATGCATTTTATCTAATACATTTTGATTGCATTCTGACACGTATTGCATTGTGCATTGCATGCACAATTGATTTCGAGGAGTCTTGACACTTGAAAGTAGGACGAGAGGCAGAAGAGAAAAGAAAAATGTTGACCATAAAGCAATCAGGTAACTGTTATCTACGCGACACACATGGTTTAAAAAATATTTGAAACATTTATCCCGTTCTAATTATTTGCAATAGTACACGTTTCATCAGTATTAGTATTTACTAAATTATATGTATCCGGGTAGACACCCCTGATGATGCCCTGTGTTTACAAGATCTCTTGAGACTTGATATGGAGTAGAGCAAATAACTTTAATCTGACCAATTGCCAGATTATTCATTTTAATCATAAAAGAAATATTTAATCGTACGATTAATTTTTCTAAGGTCACTCTTTCGATTATGGACAATATCTGCGACTCGAGTTATATTTAGGGTTGACTTATCTTTTGATAAGCATACGCAATTGATTACCAGCTCTGCGTTCAAAAAACTTGGATCGGTTAATCGTTCCTGCAAATATTTTAGAAGTATCAACTGAAACTGTTATATTGCACATTCGTCAGACCAATTGGCTGTTGAAATACGCAGCTTTTGCTTCAAAGTTTCGAAAGATATCACATCGTGTTTAAATCAGACAATGGATTTCGCTAGTGACCTTGTTGGGGGCGAAATGTCCGTAAAGAAAACACACTTTCTCGGACGAGGTTTGCAATCTCGATTTGCCGAAAAATTTGGAAATCAGTCACACCATAGATGGCTTCAAAAGAGGCACGTATATCGGCACGTCGACCTTGTCAGAGGTATAAAGGAGGAAAGGAAGGGAAGAGAAGAAAGAAGTTTCATGTCGTGGAGAATCGTCTTTGGGGGAAGACACGAAACCCCTCGTATGGTGTACTAATTGTAAATGTCGTAAGACGAATCTCGAATGTTAGATCGAACGTGCCGCCGACGGGTAGGGGCGATCACTTTCTCTTCGTCGGCACGGCCTCGTGGTGCGTCGAGGAACATTCAGCAACAAGTTTTTACCAAAGCAGTAACACCAGCCGTCGCCGGTCCGTCGGCTGCAACTTCGACCAAATTCACGCGTCGGTGCCAAAGTCACGCGGTACGTTAACGTAGTTGCAGAAGTGCATTCTTGAGAGAGTGAAAACACGAGAACGTATCCATTTCTACATGGTAGAAGTGTAAATATATCTGTTACATAATGGGGATGCTTTGAGGTAAAATAACGATTGATATATATATACGTGGTGGCGCAATTGAATGAATTTACCGTGTGGAGTGCGCGACTCAAGGTTCGTAGATATTCCTTGAAATCGCGTACAGTTTAATTGAAGAGAAACTTTTGTTTTCAAATTAGATGTTTGTAATGCCAAGTGTAATTCACGCACGATGCCTTGTATAGATTATTATTATTATAGCTTTTGTACTTTTATAATAATTATTCGAACTGTAAGAAATAAGCTGAGAAGATAAATCGTGTATTATAAAATTGCAAGATTATTTTTCGCGTGTAAAATATGAAGATCTTTTTCATCTGCAAAAGTAGAGTTTCCCTTTCAAACGGAAGTAATCGAGAGAACTGCGCAATCAATTTAGAATGTTCTCGCGCAACGAATACCGGAAGTTGTTCAATCCCGACGATCTTGTTAGTCAGTTTCATAAGATTGCTTTACGATAATTAATGTCTTAGATTCGCCACATAATGCAATTGCCACGGACATTGTTGCTTCTCGGTTGCTGCTTTCTGGCATTGACGCTCGTGACGGCGGCACCCGTCGGTCAAGAGGAACCATTTTTCGAACTTCCGGTGCACCTGATTGGCTTTCCGATAATTATAGCGAGCGTAAGAATCGCCAATTTCTTCAAGAAGCTCGCTTATATTTTGAATCCAGGTAATACGATCTATCTAGAATTTCTCTTTTATATAATGTGATTTTCATATATGTGAAAACAATATTCTCATATATTAACACACCCGTTTTATATAACGGATCATAGTCAACAATATGAAATATATGCAATAAAAATCACGAAAATAAAAATGGGAAATCGGATTGTAAGAAGAAATATATATATATATATACTTTTTTGTGTACATCCGTATAGTTCAACAGAAAATATCTGCCAGTATTATGGTTCGCTAGGCATAACGAAGAAAAATATATCGTGTATGCGCGCCTTTTCCGCGGTTAGCTCATGTAACACGCAAACCGAATCAGCGAACAGCAAAAGCGAAAGTATTTCTCTTGTTGTGACTTCTCTTTCCAATGAAGTCACACCCTATAAATGACCGTGTAGTTGACTATCTCTTAAATAAATACTCACGCCGAGAAATTGAGAATACCAGAGATCACTATTATTGAACCTAAATCACTTTTTAATCATCAGATATGTGCTAATTTAATACCTAAAACACATTAAATTTTTACGACATTTGAAAGAGCATGATATTTCCATAAAGAAGGAAAGTATTTTACGAGGATTTCTCGATAAATAGTTATCAAAAATCTCGGTAGAATAAAGTCAAATTTGGATGAAATACTTTGTAGATCTTTCAAAGATATTATCTCTTTGAATTCTTAGAGACCTATGTCAGTCGAGTGAAGCGGGCGCACACACATTTCTCTACGCACGACGAAGAGATTTTAGACATTGACCAAGTTGAGAAGAAGCTAGTAACCGAGTTTGGAAATAACGTTTGTATCTACGAAAGGATTTGTGTTGAATATGCAGAACGAATGCTTCGAAGAAAAAATCGGCAACTTGACTGGAGTATTCTTGATTGGGACGAAGTGTTCAGGTACGATATACAATTAACAGCACGATTGTAACTGCTTTCATTTAGCTAATCAGCTAATTTGAATAAGAATTTCGGATGCTTTATAAATATTTAAAAAAAATAAAGATACTTAGAAGAAACTTTTTTTCTTTGTATGATAGCCATAAGCTGTAAAATTGAAGATATATTGTCGAGCTATTCAAAACATTATCGCTACGCAACTCTAATTACGTTACGCAACCGTGACTCTGAAGTTCATGGCTTCAAGAAACAAGTCTATGCCTCGAAAATAGGTTTCACGAATGCATTTCACCTTCATTAAGAAATAATGAAACGAACAAAGTTTTTTATTAACAGATTCGTTGAAGCAGCTTAAAGAGACACTGTCATTTTCCACTTGTGCAATGATACGTAACGATTTCGTGCAATAGCTTATTCGGTTTTGCAAGACTTTATAGCAGTAATGAATTTCTTCAGATGAAGGCAACAAGTGATAGGTTTTCATCATAAAAAGTGCGAAGTCAAATATGCGAAATTGCATAAAAACAGTTTCTTGACGAAACTGAGAAATCAAATTCTTCTTATAAAATATTTTAGAGAACGAACTATCTAACAAAATATTTTGGCGGAAATATTTTGGCGGAAAATTAAATATCTTGACATATATATAATTAAATTTTGAAAGGGTAGTCGTGAATATTAATTTTTTTTTGTTTTACAGTAAATTATTAAAATAGAAACATTCCATTTTCAATTTTGTCACACATTTTGACAGATATGCCGAAAATATCTTTAACCGACAGAATTTGAATCCTCTAATCTCTGTGGCGCCTAATCAATCAATAAGCGATCGACGCGTGTCGTAGAATCGTAGCAGCAATGTCAGAGACTCGATCCACATCTATAGATTCTTAAAAGAAAACATATTCAGAAAGAGATGAGGCCCTCTCCTAATGACGATGAAATATTTTTTCTTTTCCTCACGCATCCATTCGAAGAGATATAAGAGAAATCCCTGCTACCGTTTAGACTCTGCATCCGTTCGCGGAGCTTACGCTAAGTTCAGTTGTAAGTAACGCCGGGAGCAGATAGCCTTTAATGGTTCCACGGGCGACTCTAATGCATCCTGATAACTGTGCCCTCCCCTTCCCCACCTCATCAACGTGCCCTTCCCGATCGTCTTCACTATTGCGTGTCCACAGACAGACCAGCTCTACCATTTTACGATTGCCCTGCTATCCGGGTCCGTGGGTTTGAGGACCTGTCGGCTTATCTTGAACCGCCTAATGCCTCGCGGCGCGAGATAGCGAGCACGTGTCATCGTACCTGTCGACGCACGATGCATCTCTCAGGGCGCGCATTTCGATGCCCGATCTCTTCTCCTCCCCTGCCTCACCTGCGGGCATCTCGCGTAGAAGCGAATGCTCATGGCAAGGAGAGAGATGAGTGCCGGCAGGAAGAGAAGGAGAGCAGATAAATTGGAGATCGAATACTGGCGGCAACTGCCGTCTAGACGGACTTAACCGACCATGGATGAGGGACAAAGCTGTCCCAAAATCATCCCGCTGCGCTTTCTCTGACCAGGCTCGGAAAAACCTGGTCGGTGTTAGAAGGATTGTAAGCGAAATGGCGTCGTTAGAAATTAAGGAATCCATTTGGACGAGATGGCAGAGGTCGCGTAGACAACGACGATGAGGCGATAATGCATCGGTTGTTTTGTATGCAGTTTCGGAGTCGTGATGCGGTTGCGTAAAAAAGATACACACATACATACACACGCACTTAAACACGGCAATTTTCTATGTAACTTAGACTCTCCGTTTCAATATTTTTTTAAGTATAATATATTATTTTGAATTCTACATGAAATATAAAATTATCAATAATAAAATTCTAAAGGCTCACAATGTTAAATAACAATAATATTATAGAGGGCTAATAGGAGCCGTGCGCAATATAGAGGACGCAAAATAAATCTAAAGATTAAAATTAATAATTCAATATATAAACGTTTCGGTCCATCTTCTGGCCATCTTCGGTATAAATTTAAAAAAATGTCAAAAGTCATCCATAAGTCACAAATAAAAGAAAAGGTCAAGAGCGCATGATTGACGTAAGGTTAAACTCCGAATTTGACGATTCTTGACCTTTTCTTTTAATTGTGACTTATGGATGACTTTTGACATTTTTTTAAATTTATACCGAAGATGGCCAGAAGATGGACCGAAACGTTTATATATTGAATTATTAATTTTAATCTTTAGATTTATTTTGCGTCCTCTATCTTGCGCACGGCTCCTATTAGCCCTCTATAATATTATTGTTATATAAAATTATCATTTTGTGTTATTATAATTTTACAGCGAGTACAAGTCATCGTCCAATTTGACAAAGGAAAATTATTTGCTGAGTATCTTCCTGGGCAACATTATTAGCAGTCCAAAGTTATGTCATTCATTAGCGGAAAGAGGAAGAGGCTGCGACAATGGCACCTTATCTGATTAGTTAAATGTACAACGTGCGATTTGAGCGTTTGTGTTGATTTGTAAAGAATGCCATGAATTAGATTAATATATTGTTATTATAAAATTAATTATAAAATACTATTTGTATAAGATAACGATATACATTTTTGTTGTGTATAATTATAATTGTTTATGTTAATTGTTCAAAACAAGGATATATGTATTCCTTTTCTCATTTTATATTAAATTATTTCTATTATTGTGTGTAAACTAACAAACATCTGCATATAGATTGATAGGTATAGCATATTATATCAAAGAGGATATGTAAGAAACGTGATTATTGCAAATATTAAATTATTTTAGTATAATTATTGTGCGAATTTAAATACGTCTTACGTATTGAACATTTCAGTCTCACGCTTTATTTCTCCGAGATGCACTATACATTCGTGACATAAATAGCTTCCATCAATGTATCACGTATACGTGATACGTCGTTATATACACTCCGTTGTTATTCTGCGAAAATAAACCGTTTGACATTTAAGGGACCACGTATACTTTGAATCTGCTTATTTTCGAAGAGCTCTTGCGAAAACTGTGCCATTTCATGCGGGACGTTTTACCCGTACGTCTACTCACGCACACATATATATACGCAATAAATGCGAAAGCGTACATGTACAGAGTGAGAGTTGCTTATAGTGACGTTACTACCAACCCACGTCTTTCCGACCAAACGGTTAAACGAGGATCAGCTTCAAAGAAAGTTTCAGTTGGTACAAAACCTAGAGAGGTGACTGTTCCGCATTAAGAAAATATATAAATAGCGTTGTTAAATAGAATCGTCTTGTAAATAGAAAATCAGAATAGATCAACAGTCGCGATTGTAAAGTTAAGCGCAAACAAATTTCTCGTAAATTGGTGCATTGTATGTATTTATAATGTGTTAAGAAGGCATCATTATTACAACGATGTAATATAATGTGATATTAGAGATTTCAATATATTGAATATTATATTTAACAGTGTGTTTGTGTTTGTATACGTGTAAGAAGAGAGTTATCAAACTTTGACAGATCAATTAAAGATCTGTATTTATAAAAAATAAAGGAAATTCACAGTTTTTTATTTTGCAAAATGATAAGTAAATTTATCTTTGTTTGGTGCCTTTTACATCTCGAAGCTCACGTTGGATATTCATCACAATATTCCGAAAAATCACCTGACAATACTCGGTGTATTCTTGATGTCTCTCAGAAGATTTATAACGTAACAGATTTATTACGGTAAATATAATATTCTGATAAAAAATATTATTGTTAAATTATATTAATTGTTAAATATTAATAATAATTAATTTATATTAATTACACATATAGATGCATGAATCAATTTGCAATGAATCTTTCGATTCAAAATAATGATCGATTATTAAAGCAAACGAGTCGATCAGACTCGTTAGCTTACAGAGAAACTCCATATAAATTTCCTTATGGAAATATCATTTTAAATCTACTTAATAATGAAGTGCCATCGGTAAGTATAGCTTTCGTATTCTCTCTCGCTTTCTCTCTTCTCTCTTGATTATATTCTATAACAAAATTTATTATTATTACTTATTAACATGCTCTGAAAATATCTCGTAGATAAATCAAGATTTTCCGTTGGATCCTACTACCAGTAATTATCAATTAAATTATCCAAGTGTACCAAATGAATCTTTCAACCAGTTTGGCGGGCTTGGAATAAATCTTTTTAATGCTCTGTCATCAATCTCCCGCTACGACGATCTAAAGTGCGTGTCCAGAATACTCTGCGAAGTAGCAAGTGGAAAGCCACCGGGAAGATATAAACAGGCATCGACGGGAAATGATAAACATTATTTGGGGGAATTTGGACGAAATGTTTTCTCTCAGTGCGTGTATTTTCATGAAATATAATATATAGAGAAACACGAATTTTGCAAAATGAGATACGATAATAATATAATTTCGCGTATTACAAATGTGAAAATTAAATAGGTGAAATCATTATATGTAGCTTCTCATTATATTTTCAGTTGGCTCGTAGGAACGGAAGCGTCTCCCATATTGAGTTTCGCTCGAGCTGCCGTGCTGGGCTACAGCAGCAATGGAAATCCGGCTATGTGTTACCGCGCGTTTCCTAGATGTCCGCGTAATCCCGACAAACTGGTGCATTATCTAAACAATCACAATGGCGGATTTTTCCGCTTCTTCAGCAGAAGCGAATACGGCAGTTTACCTCAATCGTCTTACGTTTCACGAGGTAAAGATAGTACCATGGATTTATCACGGACGACGTTTAAATTTAAGGTTTTGTATGCATTAAATAGCTTGTTTTTCTCGACAACAAAGGTAAGCTGGACTTCCTTGGTGAAAAAAGACAAAAAGGCTTGCCCCCGGGGATTGCCGGAGCGGAGGCCGATCGCACCGGAACAGGCAAATTAAAGTTCGGCAGTACCGTTTTGACTGCTCATGACTATGGAAAAAACTTCTTCTCAAAGGATAATACGCTGGAGAGCACAGGACGAGTGGTGTTCTCGAAACACGAGGAGTCTTTCGGAGACGAAAACGATCGTTTATTGGAAAACAAGTTTTCTGAATTCTTGTCACACTTACAAAGCTCTGATGCGAACACGTTTTCGCAAGATCCTATTCCGTTCTTTCCTCAGGTAATATTTTTGTTCAGGTAGTAAATAAGAGTAAGATTAAAAATTACTCAAGTTATAATAATATTTGCAAACAAAATCTTTTGCGATCAAAAAGTTTTCATTGATAAGCGATGTATAGCGCGTAATAATTTCTAAAATTAATGAATATCGCGTTATATCTAAAATTATATTTGTGGAATATTTTTTCAGGAATCAGAGGAGCAAGGTGTCCGTGTATTCCGTTTTACTCCTGAAATTCTAGTCTCGAAACCCCGCAGTGCGTTCCGTTTTCCGCATTAATAATTGATCCTTTTTTGGATAAAATGATATTCACTGACAATGACATTCCTTTAAATTCTCATATATATATATAAAAAATGATATTGACATTTTAACTATCAAAATAATCGATGTTACATAAAATGGAAAAAAGAATTAATAAATTAATTTCATCACTAATGTTTAATATATATTTTGACCGATGTCTATAAAAATTAATAAATATGTGTTGTTTTATAAATATTGTGTGTATACTTTAAATCTCATATTATATACCTTTCACATTCGCCTGAGATTCGGCAGCCCGAATGGCTCGTAACCAAACGCGTTCACATAAATGAGGGGACAAGTTATTTAATTTAAACAAGTCGTTTAATCTTTTTTTTACACTATTCATTCTTTCAATATTACACAGTTATACACTCTTTTTATCCATTACATCACGGCATCGATGTGCATGGCAAGCAGAATTTAGAAATTGTAGACTCAGCTGGAAATTCAATTTTGATGTCGATAGGCAAGCATCGACCATTCTACGTGCGAAAGCATATGCTATCCTCGCTGATGCAAGGGATTCTCTTTATTCGCCTACCTCACCTTTTCTCATAATAGATGATTTTATATCTTTCTAAAACATATCCGATACAATATATGTATAAATTTAAAGTTAATAATGATATTAGATATAAAATTAATATTTATTGGATTTTTGCTATAATTTTTTATTCTCACACTGTTGCTTTGCTCAAAATTTTAATTTGATACTTTAAATACTTATCTACATCTTGTAACATCATGTAATGATATAAAGCAAAATTATATAGAATTTTTGAAATTGCAAATTATTCTCTTGATATCTTTACATCTACGCGAGAACTTTTCTTCACGGAATACAGTTGCCGGAAGATTCTTTGCTAAGTCTATATTGATGTGCAATCATCCTTGAGCGTAATAATTTTCGATCATGAATTTTGTGCTCGACAGATGATCGTACACGCCTTTCAAGAGTCTTCCCATTCATGTAGGGTATTACTCCCTGACTCACGTTTTTTTTTCCTCACGTCTCATGTGATGATAGCAATATCTTGCGTTTCTTATATGTGCTTGCGTGCGTGCGTGCAGAAAAGTGCAAACTAATATGAAATATATGTATATAAGTATATGTGTATAAGTCTTGATTAAAAATTATATATATATGTATATATTGTATTATAGTATTTTACCTAGATTATTTTACACATAAATTCATTATATAACTTGCGACAATAACATTTCAGATCTTGGTATTTACAAACAATATGTGCGTCCGAAAAGTTTAAAATAATTAAATAAAGATACTTGAATTAAAAATATTTGTTGAATATTAAAAAATTACTTTAAACAATAATCTGTCGCAAAATTTTTTCTAAGGAAAGAAAGAATGGATTCTAAAAAATTTATCTTTTGTAAAAAAATTCGTTATTAAAATAAAAAAAGTATTTACGTACAATGTATCGTCGTTTATCTGTTTGCGGTGTGAAACGTTTGACACGCAGCTGTAAAATTCACGTATGACTTTCTCCAAATAGCGGCTCACCGCTCGGTGACGTTGTAGAAATGGAACGCGCAACGTCGAAAAAGCGGCGGACAACGTGTAATTATTTTATCCTTTCTGGCGTGTAATTTGGGGCGTGCACCGCGTTCATGGACTCGACGCAGGCGGGGGATGTGGAAACGGCCGAGTCCACGGCAATGCCGTAGCCTAAAGGGGCGTGTGCCCCGGACAGGGCCAAGTGGGGTGCAACTGACAGCGGAAGACAATTAGCCTTCTGATACATCCAATGTCGCGTGATACGCTTCGCGATCTACGTAGGAACTTTACAAAGATTCGTTTCACGCATCGTGACACGCGGAACAAAGTGTTTTACGGGGAACACACTCTGCAATGGAGACCGTTGATTTATAATCCGCTGCGTGAGGTCTAATACGGCTTTGTGAAATTATGTAATGTTAATTGATCCGTGAATATATTATATTTTTTTACCTTTTGTATTTTACGTAATATTTTTAACAATTTCGATAAAACCATTTAATTTAATGTATTATATTTAATTCACGATTTATATCATAATTAAATTAAATTTTTAAATTGGAAGAGATGATGGATTGTCGACGCTACTGAATGCCAAAGCGAATAGAGCCTGTCGTAACAGGATTAGCATCGCGCGAGAGTGCAACGAGAATGCGATCCAATGGTGACGTCGTCGTCTATGCTTACCGCTGTGCCATAATCTCGCTCTATTAGTGCGGTATTATTTTCGTCGTAGACATCAAAGAGGATTTCCCGTAGGCCTATTGTATCGCGGCGATAATTCCTCGTTATTAGCAGCGCCAACGTCGTCGGGGCGTTGGTCTCATGTCGGCTTACCACACCCCAAGTGCCGAAACAAATCCTCCCGAATTGGTGGCTGGCCGATGCAAAGGAGCTTCTACGTACGACGTAGAGCTCAGCCGTTTCAACAAAGGATCTGCCGCGCGATTGTGGCGGCTAATCCCCGTGAAAAATGCGCTGCAGGTAGAATTCACCATCGTCGACGACCAGGTGAGGAACCTATCGCGCATCGGGGAAGAAGCGGAGCTTTTCCGAAGCGAAGGGTGGATTAATAAGATATCCTTGATGAGATCTCCGAACAATCAACTCGGAAAGTGAAATTTGCGACGAATCTCTGAATTCGAGATAAACTCGAGTATCATGGCTAACAATTGAGGAAGTAATTTGGAGAAAAAAATAAAAGTATTCATATTAATAAAATTTAAAGAATATAGAAATAATGGATATTTTACAATTATATTTTTCTTGACACTATTTCATTAAATAGTATAGTTTATGTTCTAATGGATTTAATTCTAATAAAAAAGAGATTCTAGTTCTCGCGCAAGATATATACATGTGGAATACAATCAAGATTCACTAAATCAAACCCTGCTAAGCAGCTTTAACGGTGCGCGATCTAATCAGGCTCTGCAGTAGCTACTACATCCAAGTTGGGCAGAAAATAAGACATAAATTCTCGAATACACCCTCACCCCCACATGCAACCATAAAACACCGTCGCGACCTTATTTAGTCGTATATTTTTCCCCACGAACGATTCACAATGCCTCAATATCTTACCGTCGCAATATACCACGGACTATCCTTTTCTTCTCGATAGACTTTTCAATTCGGAGTGCCGAATCTTTGTCACCGAGGACCGAAGGACGCCAATTCGTCTGCACAAAAGAACCGCGGTGGAATCACCCGTTGAAAACGGGATTCCCCATCCGCCTCCCGTCCACCCTCGGCCGCTTGATGGACAGAATAATTCGGTGAGAATGAAAATTCATGTCCTTCGGCGATCCTTCCCTCCGCGGTCTCGCGTTTGGGGTCCCCGAAAATCCGTGAAATTCTGACGCGCTGGTCAAACCGCCGGATAAGTGGGTATCTCTGCCGGTACAAAGGAAAAGATACCCTCCACCTTCTGCTATCACAGTTCGCCAGATTTCCCTTATCCCTCGCGGAGACGCGGTGCCAATTGTCGAAGGGACGAACGGTCAATCGGTGATAAATATAGAGATACGCATAGTATTACGTTTTAAAATACTTATTTCATAAAGAAATTTTTTTTCACGCCATAAGCTCTCTAGAAAATAATAACGTGCGCATAAAAAAAGTTATAATCGTGATTAAAATCTTTTTATATTCGCTCCGTATCTTCTTGCGCGTATTATGGAGAGATTATGGATCTTTTTAAAAATATTTTTACGAATTTTCGTGGCGGCGTCCATTAGAAGATTATGAAACGTTAACCCTCTATTCGCGATGCACAAAACCACCCACGGTCCCTGCACGGTCGATCCTCCCACGTCTTTAAAAAAGACCACTTTATTCGGCAGATCAGTTTTCAAATCGTTCATAAATAATGAATCTGGCTGCGGGTAGCACCGTGCAACGTCAGTCAGCTACGCTGATTGCAGCATTGAAGACACGTGTCGCGGATCAATCGTCGGACGCGTGTCAGTATTTTCGTATCATCGCCGAAGGGTGCCTGTTACTCGTTTCTTTCTCTCTTTTTCTATCCTCCTCTCTACTACCTTTTATCCCGTCAATTCCCTTCCTTCTCCTTCATTCGGCTGCTTCCTTCTTCTTTTATGTCGTCGCCCCTACTGCTTCAAGTTTGCACGCAAAGCCAAACGAGTGTCGCAGGGAAAGCCAAACGACGCGTAGAGGATCGGTTCTTTTTTTTTTTTTTAAACGACCAGACGACGTTTTAATGCGGCCGGGATTATGCGGCTGGACTGACTTCGGATTTTGCTCGAGATCGTCGCGGATAAGGGACGTGCAAACAGAACTTTAAGAACGCCCCTTGGCACGTCACGTCGATCGCTTGTCAGCTGCCGGGATTTGGCGGTTTTTTAATTAAAAGTGCTGGCGGAGCTTATAGATAGCGGCTGGGAACGTGTACAGCTAGTATAAAGTAAAGTGTGAAAATTATATTTAAAATACAATATATGTATATGTATAGCAATCTAACATGTAAATCCCAAAATTCAAATATTCCTCTTCTTATGATTGCATAACCAAATACTGTTGATGAGAATCCTATAAAACTATCTATCGAAGCAATGCACCAAGCAATGAAATCTACGCGGTGCGTCATAACTCCTTCGCGAAGCAAATTATCGCGACGTGCTCGGCGAGAGAAATGCGAGTGAAGAAGTGGCTGATACGTTCCAGGAAGAAGTTAGATGCGCTGGAAGCTTGAAGGTGAACAGAAAAAGAGAAGGAGAGAGAGAGAGAGAGAGAGAGAGGGGGAAGAAAGACGATGAGTGAAAGACGTCGAGCTAACCCCGACTAACGCGGATAATACTTTGTAAGTGGCGGTTCGTAGCCCCGAGGGCTGTGGCAGTCTTCATAGAGCATCGTCTTCGAGACGTTTTAGGCTCTGCTCGATTAGATGTTCGTTCCACCTCGCCGAGCTAATTTGTCTTCGAGGACGTTACGTCGGACGTACTACGTTCGGGGA